AGATACTCAAAAATGCAGGTTGGGTTAGCATTGGCTGCGATTGTAATTATAACTTTTCAAATGAACAGGAAAAATCACATTTAAATTGTAGATCTTTATATATAGAAACCTTATGTCAATATACCATGACTGCTTAATTTATATTTCACAAGTTTCCAGACCATAGACCAATGTGTTAATCATTTCTAATAGATTTAAAACCTTTAAACATATAAAAAAGTATATTGATTAAAAAATATGATGTATACAGAGTATTAAGATGTATCTCTCACCTGCAAAAAGCATTTCAAAAGTTATTTTCATTTTTTATTCTTGTTTGAAATGATTTCTTAAATTCCCTTTGGACTGGAACTAAAGAATAGCTTCTTGACACGTTGTATTTTATTCTGGGAAAGTCTGTCATTTCATAAATCTCAAATGACTTATGACAATGTTCAGAAATATAAAGAACTATACTTGAAACTTGACAACTACTATTAATTTTGGAAACTGAATGTTGGATGTGTTTTTATTGGATTACCAAAGAAGATGCCGATAATGAGGAAATTAGCCTCTTTTCTTTGCATCAATTTCTTACCTCAATTTTAATTCAGGAACTATAGGTATTTGTGCTTTTATTGTATAATCAGAAGGTACAAGGCATGTAAAATATTGAAATAAACATTCGAGTCATAGAAAAACTGCATTATTTTTTCTATTTGTTTTAGACCTTTGAAGCTTTTAACTATAGCATGCAGGACATTTTACAAAGTAGAGAACACAGAGAAAAGCAAAAAACAGCTTCCCATTCCAATGTAAATTAGGTGAAGAAATGTGTAGCAAGTATATAAAGTTTAGAAGAAATTCAGAGTGTAGTTCATGTCTAAACCTTTTGAAAGAAAATTAGAAATCAATGCAGATTCCGGAATACTTATAGATTCAGAAAACAATCACTGTATTAGCTATTGGATGAAACTTCTTGGTGATCTGTGTGGACAGCCTTATTTAGAAATTATTATAAACCCTCAAACTAGAATTTTGTCCAAATGGATGACTCTTAGGAGATGCATTTGAGTTAAAAGAATTTGCAACTCTGTACAATTCACAGTTGGAATAAACACCTTCTGGCCTGTACTTTTGAGATGCTAGGAAAACTTGATTTAGAGGATCCCTCAGTGTGGAAAATATTACTGAAAGCAGACAAGTACATCTTTGCCAATGGAGGAAAGTATTTTCCACATTTTACTTACTCATTCACAATGCCACCAACATCTCAAAAAGAGCCCTTTAATCCAATTTTCATATTTGGTGGTTGCCACAAAATCTAGACAAATGCCACTTTCATCATTCAGAATCCACCAGCCCTTCCTGTGGTTTTGACTTTTTGCTGTTCCAAAGGCATTCTTTATATAAAAGCAACAGTGCATCCTAGAATGTAGTTAACTAGGAATGCTGAAACATTCATTTGTTTATTTGGAAAACTCTTCTGATGAGGAAACTGACAGAAGAAAATGGTCTAAATACGGATAAATATCTTGCTTCCTATACCCATCTGTCTTAGTTTTCTATTGGAAGCCTTTCCTAAGCTTAAAAATAAAAAAGAACATCTATTTTGGAGATGGGCAACACATTTTTCCTAGCAGCAACTCAAAACATGATGAGTAATTTGGAAAAGAACTGTCAAATCTACCAGCTGCCTTGCTTGTGAAGCTGCCCTGTTCCGTTTTGTATCTTGTAGACCATATGTTAAATGCTGATTGCCTC